TGCATGAGAAAAACGGTGAAAATGGACTCTACAGCCCTGACGATATGCAGTCACGTGAGACTTGGAATTTAGAAGTGATTGCACACATTAGTGCTTCCCAAAGTGTGCAGTACCACTCCCAGGGCAGGGGCGGGGTGCTGAAATGTGCTGAAATGACGGGGGGGAGGGGGGGGGTAGTAGCCTTGGGTACAAGTGCTTCCTGTTTTTCACTCAAGAAGGTAGATTTTTTCAGGAGGGTGCTAAGTCTCTATTTTTTTTTTTTCTGATAAAGGAGTCATAGACCAAGTAAGTTTGGGAACATCTGACAAACATAATTCTAGTTTTGACAGTGAATTTTAACATGTGTACCTGTAGAAACCCTCTATTTGGTCCTGGAGTCTCTCTAGGGTTCTCAAAGTCTAGCAATGCAGGAGCTAGAGAGAAAATACAGTGGGTAGGGAGCTTGCCTTGTGTGTGACTGACCTGGCTTTGATCCCTGGCCCTCCATATGGTCCCCTAAGGATGCCAGGAGTGATCCCTGAGCGCAGAATCAGAGTAAGCCCTAAGCACTGCTGGGTGTGCCCCCAAACTCTCTCTCTCTCTCTCTATATATATATATGTATATATATATATATATATATATATATATATCAAGGCATATGGGAAAAGAATTCCTCATAGCACTGGGCAAGGTGAGTTTGCCAGAAGTTTCTCCAGAATAGAAAATAAACACTGCCAAGAGATCTCCCTTACCACCCCCCTCCTAGGAATCCCATCTGCTCCTCATCCAAAGTATAACCTTGAGAGGAAAATGAGTGACATTAGCGATGTAAAAATCTCTCCATAATTGTAAAAACTCTTTGGAAAGTGATTCCATTTTAGCAAGACACAGGAAATCTTGGAAGAGAGTATTTTCTACCAGAACAAATTTTTGATGACTCTAGGACAATGTTTTATGAATAGCTTGCATATAAGATGAACTAAGAAAAAAAACCTACAAAGCCAAGTATGCACTATTTTAAATATCGAACTCTAGTTGAATAGAATGAAGAGAAGGATATTTGTTTCATGTGACTTCTCTTTTTTCTTTACTTGCATACAGCCACATCGTTTCAAGTGTGAATTTGTTCTGTTGCTGTGCAGAGAAATGGCTGTGTACTTTGTAGTGAATCTTGCAATAAACATCTGAATCGTTTTTAAAATTCAAAAGGCAGTAGGAGTTTGGCAGAGCTCCAGAATCATTTCATATCCATGCATCGGAAATAGTACCCTGATGGTGCCAGGAGGGCTCAGCCGTGGGAATGATGTTCAAATGGCCCAGCGAGGTGCGATGTGTCAAAGACGAAAATGCCAGGATTTTGTATTCTCGACATGAAACTACTGGATGATGGATTTAGAGTTCCGCAAGGCTGTCATAAAAGTGACTCTAAATCTACAATGTAAAACTTGTTAAGTCCAAATATTTCTTTCACATACACTATTGTCAAGTATGTCTAAATACCACAGACTTGAAAGGTTAAGAATGTGAGCACAATAATGATAGCCTATAAAAAGGAGCGTAGATCTTGGGAAGAAAGCGTCTTCACTGTAATTTTAAAAAACAAACCAGAAAGCATAAATAGACCTGAACTTTAGCTGATTCCTGAAACAAATTGATTCCTTCTTCAGTCATCTCTTTTAGTATGAAGCTATATTGCTTGTCAATTATTTAGCCTTACCATGTCTTGGCTTCAATATTTATTTGACACAGAAAACATAGTGCCAAGCCAGTAACACTGCACACAGTAAATGTTGGATACAATTCAGCTACTACTACACTTCTTATTTTTATAATAATAAGAGTATAAAATGTCTGTGGGCTGTGCATAAAATTAAGAATATAGCTTGATACCACGATAAAAGTGTTTGAAATATTCTTAACTATCCTACTATTAGTGCTGAGTACCCGATTATCTGTAAAATAATATTTTCTAAAAACAAGGCCACTGCTATATAATCATATGTTATGACAAACTGTCCCGAAAAGGGAGTCTGCTGAACTGAAATTCAATTAAGGGCATCAGTCTGATGTTGAAGTTTGATTTTTTTCATAAAATAAGAAGAGAGTAAGAAAACTGTATTAAAATTTTGATGAAAATAGTACCCCTTCCCCCACATTATAGTCCATGAGAACAAGAAACCCTCCCTCTATGAACATCTAGTTGTGTTCACAATAGAGCACTGTCCTGTATGTAGCACTGTCCTCCCATTGTTCATCAAATGGGCACCAGTAACGTCTCACAACAAATTGTGAGACTTGTTGTTACTGTTTCTGGCATATTGAATACATCACAGGGAGCTTGCCAGGCTTTGCCGTGCGAGGGAGATAACTCTCGATAGCTTGCCTTGCTCTCCAAGAGGGGCAGAGGAATCGAATCTGGGTCGGCCATGTCGGCCTCGTGCAAGGCAAATTGCCTTACCCGCTGTGCTATTGCTCCAGCCCGAAGTAAAATTAGACAGTATGGATTAAGGTGACAGAACATATCTAGATTTGCTAGTTTTAGTAAGACACTAGAATATAAGAAAGATTTAATGCCAGGCGTGGGGCAGAATTTACCAAATTTAAAAAAAAAAGAAAGGGAAAAAAAGATGGAAAAAATTAAAAGAAAAACAATACTACCACCACCCAACCTTTGACTTTCCTCTGTTCATTCACTGAATTCATGACTGGAGTATTATGTCTGTGCCTGTGCATACAAAGAATAAGACATGGCTGGTTGTGGGAGACACATTTGCAGGAAGTTGCTTTAAGAGAAGAATAGAATCATGTGCCAGGTGGCCTGGGGAAGTGATGGGCTGCACCTGAATGTGAGGGTAGGTGCAGGTACACTCCCTCTCCCTGGAGTTTGCAGAGATCTCTACCCCTCCAAAGACCACACAATGCAGTCATTTACAAATTATTTTCAATTAGGTCCCAAGAAAGATGTTAAAACACAGAATTGTTTTCATCTCATAACATCCTGCCATGTTGTTTTTCTTTTGTTATTCTCAAGTTTCTAAAAGTAAAAAGAGGAAAAGTTCTTAGAATACTTCAGAAGTTCCCCCGACCCCCACCACCCCAAATTGGGACATGTCAAGAGGAGAAAGGAAAAGTTATTGCCAATGTGTTGCCAGAGTTTGAAAGAGAGAGAAATCCTTAACCAGAAGAAGTTCTACCTGTAAGTGAAGCAGAGGACAGGCTTGTACCTGGGGTATGTAGATGGAATGGAACAAGAGAAGAGAAAAGATAGGGGGTGTGTGTGTGGTGGGGAGGGGATGGGGGCCTTGCATGTGGCCAACCTGGGTTTGATCCCCAACACTTCATATTATCCCCTAAGCACTGCCAGGAATGATCCCTGAGTGCAGAGCCTGGAGTAAGCCCTAAGCACCACTGGGTGTGGCCCCAAAGCCACCCCCCTCAAAACAAAAACAAAAACAAAAGTAGAAGAGACAAACTCAAGATGCTCATGATTTCTTAATATTCCTTCCTCTCCATATGCTCCCAGGGATACAGCCATTGTCTGAAGGACAGTCATAAAGAACAAACATCTTTCAGCCTACAAGAAATGGCTGTTCTGAGACAAGATGACAAGCGTGGGCAGAGGCTATGGATGTCAAATGTGATCTCCCAACATTCCACAAATCTTCCTGGGTGTGTATTGTACCTTTTCAGAGGCAGACTTGGCCAAAGCACAGAGGAATTTTGCAACCAGGACACTGATTATATAGTTGGCAGTATGCAGAAAGCTAAGAATAGAGATCTAGGTGTGCTTTGGGTGGGGGGAGGGAAATGTGCTATTCTTAGGGAACTCTGGAGGAAGAAGGAGACATATTCAAATGAAGTGGAATTTGATTCTTCTTTCAGATTTTCATTTTCTTGGCATAGTTCAATTGGCTGGATCTGTAAAATTTGAGGCACCACCAAAATAAAATAGCATGATTTTTTGAACGCAGGAAATTATGACTTCTATTTTTCCTTTTGTTTCATGAATTTCATGAAGTACACAATTTCTGTGTGCTTCATGAGATTAAACTCCTAGGCCTCCTTCACCTCTTTAGCGTGGGTCTCGAATATTCCTAAGCACTGACCAGACAAATAGACTAAGCAGAATCTTCTGAGAGTCTTAAAATATGATTGCTGAAAGGTCAAGTTAGCAATTTTCCCTTTTAGTATTCCAAAGCAGGTGCAAAAGTCAAGGTGTCAGTACTGCCCCAGACCAAAAGCTCTTTAGAAATTTGAGGCTGATAATATAATTCAGAGAATTTTTAAATCTATATTTCACAAGGCCTATACTACATTTACCAAGTACTAAGTGCCCCTCCACACCTCCCCCACTCGAGCCCTAAGGTGTGGATAGACTCTGGGCAAATGAATATCTTTGTACTTCAGATCACTCATCTGTAAAATGAGAGATATTGGAAGACTAGTTCTTAAGATCTCAGCAGCACTGAAAAGCTCTGATTTTCTGCATTATTATAATATAATGAGGCTGAGTTTCAATTATAGCTTCTCATTGTACGCGGCTCTTTGTTGACCAGTCTATTTCACACACATCCTGGCTCCTACCCCTGAACTGGTTGAGACACATTTTTCAATTTCTCCCTGTTGGCTGTAGGGTCTTGACAGGATTCCTCAGAAATGCTAGATTATACTAGCAAGGGGGAGCTAATTTCTCGACCCTCTTTAGGCTTCATTAAATTGCCCCATAGGCATAGCATCATACAGCACTTATCAGCATCCCTGGCATCTAGGGAGGAAGTGTGGAATGAGCTATATAATGGTCAATGCAAGATATACACAATTGTCCTCAAATTCTGATGGGTGCTATTTTACTTCCTAGTTGTTTGCGCAGCAATTAAAACATTGTTAATCCCACACAGATTTTATTGAGATAAGAACCTGTTCAGAGGTGACTCTAGAAAATCATTTGGAAGACCAGGCAGGACAGGAGAGAAGGTAGATGCAATATGAAGTGAAAGAGTGACATTCAGAGGGCACTTACGGGTCAAAGGCAGCCAGCAGGAAGTTGAGCAGGAGGCTGATGGACTGCTCCACATGGATTTGGTGAGTGGTAGGCATCCGTTTGTTGAGCTGGTAAAAAATGGTGGAGAGCACAGCCTCTAAGCGGGCCACATTGAGTTCTATGTTTGGATCCAGGTTGTTCAGCGCATTTTCCCGCAAAGCTTCTATGACGTTCCAAATGTCCACCAGGTGCACTACATATAATTAGAGCAGAGAGAATGTGTGAAGAACATTTAATTCATGATTTAACATGTGCGACTGTCCTGTTCTGTTTTGGTGCCTCTCGGGCTTCAGTATGTGTTCAACTATCGCAGAGCTTGACACAGTAAATATACATCAAGTGCATGATCTCAAAGACCTGACTGTACAATGTATGTTAAGAGATAATGACTGACAGAGTTAGTTTTTGTTTGTCATTTATCCCCTTGTGACATGCAAAGAAATTAAGGGGAATTAACGGGCAGATGTAAAGGTCTAAGACCAGTAAATAGCAAAAGTGATATTTGAATCCAGTTTAGTTTTGTTGTTTTTAAAAGTTGAGATAGGGACTGAAGAGACAGTACAGGGATTAAGGCCCACATCTTGCATACAGCTGTCCCCTGTACGCAGGTTTGATTCCCCGCCCCCCCCCCCCCCCCCCACACACACACACTGTCCTCCCATTGTTCATTGATTTGTTCGAGTGGGCCCAGTAATGTCTCCATTTTGAGACTTGTTGTTACTGTGTTTGGCATATTGAATATGTCACGGATAGTTTGCCAGGCTTTGCCTCGCGGGTGAGATACTCTTGGTAAATTCCTGGCTCTCCAAGAGGGGCGGAGGAATCGAACCCGGCTCGGCTGGACTGGCTGCGCGCAAGGCAAACCCTACTGCTGTGCTATCGCTCCAGCCCCCAGCACATGATATATCAAGCAATGCTGGGTGCAGCCTGGAAGTCCCCCAGGCACTGCCGAGTATAGTTCTGGAGGTCCCTGAGCATAGGAAGGGTGATGAGTTCACAGGAGTAGTTCCTGGGACAGAGACCAAGTAACAAAAATATAGTTGAGATATAATTGATATATATATATGTTTATATAGTGAAAACTGAATGTGTGCAATGTGTCCATATGATATATGTTACAGTATGATTACCATCAGTGTTACTTAACAACTATGTCATGTCACATTATTAAATTTAATTCTTTGTGCTGAGAATTTCTAGGATTCTGTTTCTTAGCAATTTTGAAGTATATACCATTTGTGATTGCAGTTAATAACTTTATTTTAGGTTTTTTCCCCCACTGTACGTGCTGACTCTTCAAAGAAAAAGAGAGAACATTTAAATTCTAGAATTTGAAAGATATTAAAATTGCACTTGAATATTAAAGGTATTGTTTACTTATATACATATATATTTTAGTGTTATTGGGCTGGAATAAAAGAGGGAAAGTGCGCATAGATAGGAAGATAAACCGGGGAAAAGAAAAATGATCTCTATAATGTAGCTGCAGAATTAAGTCACAGATTACTTAACTAAGCAGATCAAAGACAGTTTCTTAGCTACATTATCGACTAGCTCATGTAACATAAGTCACGGTTACTTTCATTAGGATAGTCAAGAAATCCATTTCCATTTCTTTTGCTTGCTCTAAGGTCTTGTTATAACATCCTAGAAACTATTGCTACGGTCTCAATGATGGAAGAGTTCATTATCTCCCAATGTTTCCTCATGCTCCTTTGCAATCCTACTCCCTGTCCCAGACATTCACAGAAGGGCTTTCACTGATGATATATCTCTATATCTATCTATCTATCTATCTATCTATCTATCTATCTATCTATCTATCTAATCTGTCACTGTCCTCTCATTGTTCATCAGTTTTGCTCGAGCAGGCCCAGTAACATCTCCATTGTGACACTTATTACTGTGTTTGGCATATCAAATACGCCATATATATGTATATATATGCATATATACATACGTATATTATATTTATGTATACATCATATATATGTATATAACATCTCCATTGTGAGACTTGTTGTTACTGTTTTTGGCATTTTGAATACAATATGGGGAGCTTGCCAGATCTGCCTTGAAGGTGGGATACTCTCGGTACTTTGCTGGGCCCTCCGAGAGGGATGGAAGAATCAAACCCGGGTTGGCTGCATGCAAGGCAAACTCCCTACCTGCTGTGCTATCGCTCCAGCCCATATATGTATATATGTGTATATATATATATATATTTATATAAAAAGTGGGGATAATACAGTATATTCAGGATAATACAGTATATGGGGGGTATGGGGGTCTGTTTTTTAATTCATTCTCACTACTTTGAGAGTCATCTATGTTGGGGCATGTATAATAGCTTGTTCCTTTTTGTTGTTTAATAGTATTCTGATAAATGGATAGAGCAAAATTTGGTTACCAACTTACCTGTTGATCGACATTGGGTTGTTCCAGATTTTGATTATTAAGAAAATGTTGCTATAAATAATCACATACAAATCCTTTTTTAAGGATCAAAGGATAGCTAACAGATTGGTGGCCTATGTTAAATCCCTGGCACTGCATATGGATGCCAGACCATCACCAGGAGGTGATCCCTGAGCAGTGAGCCAGAAATAGCCCTTGAGTACCAACCAGTGTGGTCCAAATCTGACCTCCCCAATATATATATCTTTGTATAGCCATAAGCTTCTATTTTGTCTTATTAAATACTTGTAAAATCACTAGCTGTATGATGTTTATATTTAATTTCTGAGGAGTTTCCAAAGTAGTTACAGTATTTCATATTCTCATTCATAGGAGTTCTAGTTTCTTGACATATTCACCAAGTTTAAGGTTCATTTTTTCTTTACACCTTTTCCTTGAAACTATGCTATCACTTCAGTGAAGTATGCATCTTTATTTCAGTTCTTAATATGCTTTTTCCTTCAACACCTCCAATGTTTTTGTCTCCGAGTCTTTACTCACATCCGAAACTATTTAAAAAACAAAACCAACATCATTAATACCCTTGATTCTCCACTTGGAATAGAAAGACCTGTTACAAATAAAGCCCTTTTTCAGTAAGCACATACTCTTTTAGCCTCAAAGTCTTAGAGCCTTGGTTTTCTCATCTACAGAGCATTTCTTTAGTGGAAAATACATGCAGTTAAAAGTGTTCTTTTGGGCCAGGGACAACTTCCTATGAGTAAAAATAAACAATAGGAATCATGTGAAAAGAAGAAACTTGTTGGCTTATCTCTATTTTGGTCAGAAGAATACAAGTCACTTTCCACTGAACAACATATACTTGTTGGATTTTTAACAATGTCATATTTGTGTCATCTACATTTGCAGCCCAACCATGTTTTACATAACAAGAGAAGCGTTTTATTTCCTAAATATTATTTATCCACTGTTCCTGCCTAGAAAATAAAGAACTTCCAGGTAGATGATATCTATTAGTTGAATTGATTGATTTTATTTTTTTGAGAGAAGTAGCTGGAGTCCCTGTACTCATTCTAGATCTAGTCAACGAGGAACTATTTGGATGCAGGAAGCAAACAGGGCAGTGATGATGTGATCTGGCATGATGAGATAACCCTATTATCCTGACTGATACCAGTGCTTAAGTCGCCAACAGCTACTGACCTATCCTCACCTGGTTCCTGACTATAGATCAGAGGAAACAAGCATTACTGTGAGCATCAGTATAAGAGGAAGAGGGCAAGAACCTAAGAAGGAGAAATTGTTCTTGATAGAAGGTGGGATCCTGGATGCTTTGGTGTCTCCTCTCCTGGTGCATCTCTGTAGGTTTGAGAGAAACTCTCAGAACACCTGGAGGGGAATTATCTGGGTCTGTGGAAGAAAAGTTGTCAGTTGACCAAGGGAAGGTAGGTCTCTTTGGCACTTTTAGTCTATACTCATTTCTCTGCCAAATCCACTTTTACGAAGGTTTTCTTCCCTGATTGATAAAAGGAATTCCTATTCCAACTCTATTCCAACTCTCTCCCTGCTTCAGATAGATCTGGACTTCATATCTATGTCTTCAAATGTCAGTTCAATCAATAATGAAGTTATCTGGAGTCTATCTCCAACATAACATCTCAATTTCTCCATTTCCATGCACTTTAATTCCTGCTACTCAATTTCATCACCCAACATTATCACTATTACCTCTTCCTGGTTAAATAAGTCAGTTCTTGCATTTTGTTCTTTATTTACTTTAACTCTTTAATATAATACATGAAGGGTAGGATTTCTGAGCCTAGAGTATTTTCGTTTTGGTTTGGTTTTTGGTTTTGGTTTTGGGACCGCATGCGGCAGTGCTCAGGGCTTACTCCTGGGTCTGTGCTCAGAGATCACTCCTAGGGTTTCTCTATGGACGATATGAAGTGCTGTGAATAGAACTGGGGTAAATTGCATGCAAATCAAGTGCGTTTGTACTATCTCTCTGGCCATATACACTGAGAATCTTATTAGACATATGTATGCTGCTTAAACTTCTTTAGTTACTTCCTGTTACATTGAAATTAAACTTGTCAACACGGCTTGCAAAGTTCCTTTTGATCTGCCTCCTGTTTACTTTTTGTCTGTTTCATCCATCATACCTTACTATCATGTCACTTCAGCTGTTTTTCTGAAGCTCCAATTTTTAGGGGTTATACCTTTCCTCTATGCCACCTTAGAATGTGGTTCATCCCCATCACACCACTTAACAATGGGTTGTCTGCAATGAACTGGATGTCTATTACCTGCTCCGCCTAGAATATTCCACAGTTAGAGATAGTCTGTCATGATACCTGCTCACATTCCTAACACTTACAAGACCTCATACTTCAATGGAATGTAATGAACAACTATTAGCTCAATGGGCACATGACAAGGAAATGACTCAACAGTGAAACAGGTCTTCGGAGGATGCACTGGACTACTGACAAGGCTATAAGGCATTGTAAAGAATCACAAAAGCTTTTGGTTTGAATCGTAGTTGCAGATATCCACTAAATATCATCTTAGAAAGTGTAGTCAATAATTGCACCTACCCTCAGATGATTACTATTAAGATTTAATGAGATGATGCTTGCAAAATGGGCCAGGAAATGGACTATAAAGAATTGCTTATTGTTATGAACAAATATACTGCATGAAAATTATTAAAATAAATGTATTCCATATTTGTTCCTATATTTAAGATATAATGAAAATGAAGTATTAATTCTG